TCACGCACGTGGGGTCCACAGTCACGTGACTTTGCCTCGTGATCCGCACCTTCCCTAAGTTTGTGAAGTTCGGATGATCAATGAAAAAGGAGTGTGAGTGGGACCCATAAATCACAGACCGTACATCACAGTTTTTATTTTTTTATTTTTAAGGGACAAAACAAAAGACATGATCTGATGACGAAGTATCGTGGGCCCGGCCGCACCAGATCATTGAATTATTTTGAAAATTGGGTTTTGATTGTCAAATAACGCGTTTAAGTTAAAAAAAAAAAAATTAATAATAATGTTTTTTTCTTTTTTAATTCTATGTGCGGAATACCGTATACGTATTTTATGGTGAAGTGAAGTGAACCTCCACTAACATTTTAAAAAAAAATTAAATAAATAAAATGCTTGCAATGTAAGAGCAAGCTGGCCCTGGATTTTCCATATTTGTTTTTTTCCCCCAAATGTCAAAGAATTTCCATTGTGGCAGCCCAAAAATGTAAATCCTGACAAAATAAAAATAATAATAATCATTGTGTAGTTTTGGTTATTGGATAGTGAAATAGAAACGTACGAAAATTATTTTTCAAAAACAAAGAATAATATCTGAATATAATTTCTATCAATACCATTATTATTCTGAGATCAATGCATTTTCATGGTGGGCCCTTTTCTTTTTATTTTTCATTTAATTTCAATTTGATTATCATGTTTTGATGATTGAATTTATGTATAAACATCATTTATGATCTACTTGCCGAGCTTGAATCGCATTTAAGGCATCAATTAAACATATCCTTAATATACAAAATTTAATAATAATTTAAAAATAGATAGCCAATTCGTTTATAAGCAGAAAAGTAGCTATTATATTTCTTGAAGTTGAAGACTGAATATGCTGCTACACATTTATTGAACTAAAAATCGATTATATCGAAATTAGAGATCATGTGACTATTTTGACAATCAAACAAAATAAAAATAAATAAAGGACACATGCTACTTTAATATAGTAAAAACCACTTTAAGAAAATTGATGCATCAAAACATAATTGGATAATGTACACATTGTTGTTTGTGTATTTGATAGTGATGAATCAACTATTAATGTGTATGCATATTATATATCGTTCCTCGTTTGTAATAGCAAATTTTGAAAAGTATATCAAAATACTACTTTTAGATTCAATCCATTCGTTTTAACATGGAAACATATGTAAAGAATTGGATTAATTTGTAAACAATGTGAGTTTAATTAATAAATTTTAGAGAAATTTAATGTGTACTATCTGAACTTTTTTTTTTTCCAAATGCAGCATGTATGCAATTTTTCTCTCTAAATAAAACTTCTCAATATGTATTTTTAAGTAATAATTGAATTTGAGTTTACATTGATTATAATATTCTCTTAAAGTTTAATAAAACTTTATACTATATTCAGAAGTACATATATATTTTTTTATGTTATTTATATTAAAGTCTCTTGATTCCAATGAAAATTAGTATATGTTTCCTACCATACTTTTTCTATTTCTTAAGAACCAAACTAATATGTGTTTTGCAATAATCTTTATATCTGGTTGTATTTATTTAAAAGTACATTTAGTCCCCATTTGATTGTTATCTATAAGCAAAAATGAAAAAAATTCTAATTTTGTTAATTATATGTATATTTTTTCAAAATGTTGAAACAGAAACACGAGATAGAGAAGGATTACTTTAGTGCATATATTCTCCTAATATAAAATGAAAAAAATAAGAAGAGCGAAAAATAGAAAGAGTTTGTACAATTTCCTAAAAGTTTGATAACCAATTTTTTTATTAATATTTAGAATTGGGTCTAATATATCTTTGAATTTTTAAAATTTCTAATAAATTATTTCAAAAAACAAACTTTTTAAAGTTTTACTTAACTAACTTTTTCCCCTTAATTTATACACAACTAATTAGATTGAGTTTCATTTTATATTTTCAATTTAAAATTATATGACAAAATAATGTAACGTGTGTGGTAGATCACAAGAAATATATTATATTTGAGAGGAGATCACGCCACGTGGCGGCATTTGTTAGTGATGGTCGTTTAATGATCAAGCGTTATTGGTGAGTTGATGAAGCACATGGTGGGGACGCCCCCATGTGATAATTTTACGTAGAGAATCAACCTAAAGCGAAATACCAACCCTACCCCTATGTTATTTTTTTTATTTTGAAAAAAAAAATACATTTTTCTTTCGGGTTAGGCACGTGCCACGAACGTGGGGCCGGATGTGTTTCCGAAGAATAATTGAGTTAAAAACAAAATGACAATTCTGCCCACGGAACGCGGAAGAGTAAAATGTGGATTCGAAGGGTGTTTTGGTCAATTAGGGTTTAGAAATTTTAATGCATTCGTGTTGTTGCATTTACATTGAATTTTGGAGGAGAAGTTTGAAGAGGGACAGTGTTATTATTATTGCCCACAATTTCACGGCCATTATTATTATTATTTTGGATTTTGTAAGTAAAATTTTCGGGGCCATTTGGCAGACCGTTCAGTTCCATGGACCCAATTTAGTTGATTGTTTGCTGTAACGTTGTGTATATTGAAAATGAGCAAGATGTCTTAATTATTGAACTATATTTATGCTGATGAGAAAAAAAAGAAGAAAATTACATGAAATAGTTAATTTTGCATTCTAAACTTGTTGTTTTTTTGAACCGTGGCTTCTGTTTTTCAAACGACAAAGTACTACATGGACAAGAAAAATGGTTATACTAAAAAAAACCAAACAAAAAGAAAAATAAAAAGGATTGGATTCTCCATTTTAGTCCAGTCAAATATAGAGGTGGAGATAACATTTAGTTACGAGGGGAATAATAGGCGACTTAATCATTGAGTTATACTGACAAAAAATTCTTTGTACATGAATTTAATTTATTTTCTAAAAATTGGTGTGCGACATTATTATGATTTTAATTTCAATCAAAATCGTTTAGAAACAAAAAGTTCGTATGAAGTTGGGCCCGACATGACTTGCTTTTCAGGCCCATTGGACATATGAGTTTAATTTGATCGTACTGGGCCTACTGGATCTTAGTGTTGGGGCCCAAGAGCTCTTACTGAAGTTGGGCCCAACCGATTTGACTGTATTGGGCCCATTGGACATCTGAGTTTAATCTTCTCGCACTGGTGCACTGGATCTTACACGTTAGGAACATTAGGCCCAGAAGGGAACTGTTATTGGGCTTATTTTGATTGGGTCTAATTTTGTTTTAGCCCATGACTACTTTAGTCATTGGAAAAATTAAATACATCTATTTATAAATTTTAAATTTTGGGAAATTTATAATACGGTCGAGATTGGAAAATTTATACTATTATAAATTTTATTTATTTATTTTTGTACAGGCGGAGGTGTTTACTATTTATGAGTTATAATACATTTGAGATTGGTGGAAGAAGAATTCTGGAAAATTTAATTGTATTACCTTCATTTTCGAAAAGATTGGTAAATATGTATTTTGTAAAAATAATTACAAATATAACCATTTTCGAAAAAACTCAGATCACTGACCGACTTAAGGGTATAATTGACTTTTTCTTTCTTTTTCTTTTTCAGTAATCTTAACCGCAATATTTTTTTTAGTACTAACATTTTTTTTTCTAATAATGCTTCGTTGTAAACTTATTACAAATATATACAACTCCCAAACTATTTCAAAAAATAATGCTTTGGAGATTGTACGTTGTCTCTTCAAGAGACGATCTATGCTACTTAACGCTTCCCTAATTGCATGGCGTCTCACTGGCCCCATGTATTTTTTTTTTAAATTCTGGTATGTTGTCTCTTCAAGAGACGACATATGCAAAATAATAACAATGTTGATATTTTGTGATAATAATTGTTTCTTTACTTTTTATTCTAGATGTTCATTTATCTTCTCTTCTATTAAAGTTTATCTTCTTTTCTAAAATAAAATAACAACGAATTCTAAAAATAGACAACAATAATTACTATTATAAAAAAATGTAATTAATTATTTTTACTTTTAAATTATAATTACTACATTAATATAATTCATTTCATTTACTTAATTCGTAAAATAAAATCTATCTTTTTTTAAACAATGTAAATTATATATTTTCTTCTAAAATAACTTTTTAAAGTAACATATTTTTTAATAGTAAATTGTTTTTTGGTATGAGYAGTTATTTTATTTTAAAAGAGAAGATAAATTTTAATATAAACTATTGAATAAAAATGAAAAAAAAAAAGTGATATAATTGAAATTTGAACCAAATACATCTAGACTACAAGGTAAGAAAACAACCACTATAGCAGAATATCAACACATATATCGTCCCTTGAATGTCATAATTAAAGGTGCCATGCAACTAGGAGTTTGATTTACCCTTCTATTTATAAAGGTAGAATCCTAATCCCTTTAGTAATTATAGAAGTAGAGAGGGGAGGACCTAATATCAGATTGAGGGTCGAGATACGGTAGAACCTGATCGGGCTGCACAAAAGTCGAGGAGAACCACCAACGTGCCCAGTCGGTGGTCGAGAACTCCTCAACACCGAGCAATCACCCTGGGTCGGCTGTGGTCGGTGGTTCCAGCCTCCTTGGTCTTGTGTGCTCACTCCTCTCTCGACCCAATTTCCGTCTCCTGTTGTTTAGTCGGATCTCATTTTATCTTCTCATGACAACACCGTAAAAATTTGTACAAGAATTTCCTCGAAACACCRATATTTTTAGCAAATGGGTGCAAAATCCATTTATTATAGATTTTATTATTTTAATTAGCAAGAAAMTGGCATCTTCTGTTTTACAACTGGAATAAGGGATTGTTGATAAAAAATGGAATTGGAGAGGAGGAGGATCAAAAAGATTTATAGAGAAGTTTTCCATCAACTAATCCTGAATTACAGTACACACCCTATATTGTTTTCATATATTTACTGAGAAAAGAATAATGGTTAAGTATTCAAGAATAATTGTTAACAACATAGAGTTAAAACACATTATAACTTGGAATCTTTTTCTTTTCTTCCTTTTTTCTTTTTAATTTTTTCATTTGGCCGTCAACTAGAAGGGCTCTTTACAATTGAGCTGAGAGAATTCAGTTGGATAGAAAATGAGAGCTTCTATTCTATACAATGTTGATCAGAGAGAAAAAAAAAAAAATGTAAATCTCTTTTCTTTGGGCACCCTCTTCTGGATCAAGTCAACTAAAGGTTCTTGGATATTGTTGGGGAACAAAAAAGGAGTCCAATATTTGAACTTTCTCAGGCAGGTATTTCATGGCTTTACCAGGATTGATTTAGCTGCATCCAAATGATTGAGTCGACATGTTCCGAGAAGGATTTCGGGTAGCTCCTCTTGCGTGTTTCCCTGTCAAAGAACAAAAAAGAACGAGCAGCATTCCATTCAGATGTGTAATTCATTTATATAAGCATTTCACAAGATTGTTGTTCTTCCTTCAGCATGTTTACGGAGAAGGTGCATCGAATTGGATCCATGATTTAAAAAGAAAGGAGAAGTTTGAAGGAGTTTGGATATTACCTGGATTACAAATGCCATTTCTATGACCAAATTGTTCAAATAACCAAGAACAAGGTTGACCACCCCCCTTGCCACTGTTGAAGACCCAACATCAATTTCAACCTGATTTCACACAAAAACAAGAGATTACACAATATCAGGAGATGGAGAGGGAGACAGATTGTTGTAACTACTTTCTACTTGGTTATGACAGTTGGTTAGTTCACCTCCATATAGTTATTCCCACGAAAATAATGTACTTCAAGGGCATGACCGAGCAAGCACGCTTTCTTTCCAACACTTTGCTTGACTATCCATGATCCCTGACAATATAATGAGCAGGAGATAATGTCAGACAACAGACTTCTTGATTCTTCATACGTATGAGCTCTGTTACTGACCTGAGAAATGTAAGGTATGAGCTTAAATCTCGAATTCCTAAAGGTATCATCTCCTTCGACAAAACTTTTGAGCAAGGGACTGCTCTCAAGAGGAGTCCTCATCATGTAATACAATGCCAAGGTGTACATGGTTGTTCCGGGAACCTAATTCGAGTAAGCGGTAGCAAACAGTGAACTTTTTATCTATTCAACTATGATGGCCGAAAAAATATCTTTAAAAAGACCTACTTGTATATTGACAACAAAGAAGAATTCCGGACCGCCCCGTTCTGCATATTTCTGCATATATATAACCACAAGTATTTTTCATTTTCCTCACTCATATGGTGTGCTCTTGTAAGTAAAGGAAATGTAGTTTCAAATGATGGTTTTCGAAAAACTTGAGTGCTAGAAAAACAAGCCAAACCTGAACAATACCACCCGGACGCCTGCTAAGATCATCTTCTCGTCGGTCTGACCTTAGCCAGTCTGCACCAACCATTTGCATCAACGTGCCATTTGCTTTAATCTGGAAAATGATGTATCATGAATATAACTAAATTATATACCATTTTGAGAGAAATTGAGTGGAGTAGATTTTGTTCTAAAATCATCAACTGATAAGAGACTGCATTAGACATGGAACCTCCTCTTAACAGATCAATGAAAAGGTGTAGTAAAGACTGCCAACTAACTCTCTCTTGAAGCACAGCTAATGAAAACAAACAAGAAAATAAAGCTTGCTGACTAACATATAGCTCGATGACGCTTTCAACTGTGAATGCAGAAAATATTACTCAAACAGTAGACAATCTCAGTAACAAGTAGGGCTTGAGCCCAAGTTCTCTTAAACTAAAAACAAACAGCTTCATAACCCTACATATTGAATACCAAAGTAGTTATTATTGGGTTTTGTTTGCTTATACGAACATATTTTGTGGTTCCTCTGCATGTTTTGATTGTTAGTCTTGGCATTTTCAGGTAAATTTTGGTTATTTCAGTTGTATCCTGAATTACATCATGAAACACAGACATATACATCAAAGCATACCTTCTGGTTGTCCTTCAAATAGTTTTGTCCACGTATTAGAAACAAAGAAGGATCTGATGTTGCCCAACTGCAGGGAGAAGAACAATTTGTATCTTTTGGAAGGGTGGATCCGTAGGAGGATAACACAGGTTCTTCTCTAGCCAACTCAGGTATTTCTGCGTAACCCTTCTTCTGAACTGAAACGCACAATTTTACTTAATAAGAAAAATCTAAATACAACTTGTAATTCCACATTCAAAATAACTTTAATCGTAGCCAATAACTGACCAGCAAGATCATGTAACTTCTTCACAAAAACAGCTGCTGTTGATAGTTTGGTCTGGGAAGTATTCTGCAAATATCAAAACAGAACTGATGAACGTGCAAGACAAAACCAAACAGTATTCATAAGAAGTTTCTGGTATGCTAATTCTAAGCCAGCAGAATTCTATGCATTCTGCCACAGATGACCAGCGATATGCGACTATGTAATTAACCAAATACAAAATTTCAACAGTTGGACGATTGAATGATCTACAAAAGAAAAGATAAGAGTAGCCAACAGAATTTGAATCTGAAAAAGTAGGTATAAATACATTGAGGAAATTTTAATTTCAGCAATAAGGAAGTACCGAAGATTGCTGTTGCAAAGTCACCTCAGGTGTCCATTCATTCTCATAATGATCCAATTCTGCAGGTTCAGGAACATCATAGAACTCGTCCACAGCATCGTTTAGTCCAATCAAACTAGCACGTGGCTTTTCCACTTCATTCTCTTTTGAAAACGCCTCCTTGATTTTCCTCATTTCTTCAGGAGATTGTATTTCTGTCTTTATCTCGGCCAATACACTCGGGGGCAACTCAAAATTCATTAGGTCTCTACTAGATGATGAGAACTCAGAAGAAGAATCACCAACCTTAGCACTAAATAGTTCTCTAAGTGCTGCATCATGCATTATAACTCAGAGAACTCAGAGGAAGAATCATCATGCATTAAGGGAATACGTCACGAATACTCTCTAAGTAGTATATTGATACCTGCAAGTCTCTCTAGCATCCGGATAGTAATAGCTCTTGCAGATGACGGGCGCAGATACAGTTTCCAGAACTTCCAATCAACTGCAAGCATGTGTTTTACTAGCGAATGCTTACCTTGGTTAATTGGAGTTACAACATATCCTCCACCTGAACGTTCATCCATATAAGATACTTGAGTATGAAAACAAATTCCAACCCACCCATTACTCAGAAGGTAAAAGTTTCAATGTGGAACGAGTAAGAAGCAAAAGATGATAGAAAAATTATGTATGTATATAATTCCTAAGATGGGTAAGGACCAAGTTGATTCAAGCGAATGGGTTGAGAATGCAAAATGAATCCTCTTCCAGTAAATAACATTGGCTCAGTACTTGATGGGTGTTGAAAGGACAAATTGGTACACGAAGCATACACAAAGTATAAAACATAATTAAGCATTTTAAACGACTTGTTCCGCATTAAAACTATGTTTTGAAGCACAAGTCCAATTATTAAAATATATGCAGGGAATGTTAGCAATGCTGTTGTTTACAATATCTACAAACTCAACAAGTTTGCATACGTTACTTTTAAGGCAAGCACGGACGTAGCCTTTCTGTGGTGGAAACTTCATGTGAAACACAGAATGATATAGTACCACTGTGACAGAAACRGATGGGAGAAGTTAAGGGTAGATATTAAAGATTTCAAATTTCATAAGCATTCAATTTCTCCTGAAAATTGTTACCATATGTGCCATCATCTTCTCTTCTCCAATAGCGACGTAAAAGAAAATCTCTTTTTTTCATCCCCCTGCAAATTATATCATGTTCAGTATACACATATGTATGTTTTTTTTGTTTAATAGAAAACTACACTGAATTCTACAAGATTGGAAGTTCTGACCAAGGTAGCCAATCACGATATAGTTGCATGTGTACGATATCCGTATGACCATCAAGGTGTTCAACCAAACTTCCACGGAAGAAGCAGAAGTCCCATCTGCAAGACAGTAAGAAATTCAATCTCTAAAATAGGAATGCCGATTATCATATGGTAAAAGGGCAGGCAAACCAAAGAATTATTGACTCCATTAATTTTTCAATCAGAATCAGTAGTAAGGAATAGCTATAATACTTATGAGCAAACCATAACCACGATTTTCAATCAATGAATGAAGAACAGAAAGAAATTTGAAAAATACAGAAGTTTGAGCTTATCATACAGTTTCATAAACAAACACCATCATAAAAGAGTGAAGAAACAGAGTGTTTTCTGTGAGAATCTTACTCTGCTCTTGATGGACCAAGAGACATAAGAGTCCGAAAAATTTCCTCAGAAGTTCCACAAACAACACCAACTGCCATTATAGCAGGATGATCACCCCATTGCTGACAAAGACCAAAATTATCAAACAAAAACATCGAGTGAAAACATGCAACACAACAGGTAAGGAGTTAAAACGGGCAACTCACCCTCCGATGGGAATCGTTATCTTTTGATTCTTTGAAAAGCCGTAGCCCTGTATATAATGAACTTAACATATATTAAACGCAGCCACATATCCACTTCTGCTACTTGAATGCAAATTAGAAATTCAGGTCTTACCATTCCGACAACCAAAAATTTTCCATGGGGAAGGTGCTATAACGTCAGATGTCATTGCTTCCATTTGTACAGAGGAATAGACAGTCCAGTCTATTGAAGACTTACAATCCACTCGTTTTGACCCTCGAAATCTATCCAAAAAAGAAAAAGAAGATTCTATGGATATACATTCAGAATGAAAAAATTCAATTATACTTGCATGAATTTATAAAGTCCCAAAAAGAAAGATTTCTTTACACATGCTTATGCATCTACAGTTTCTTTAAATTATAACAAAACGTGTTGTTATAACTATTTCTTCATTTTAATCAAACCCTCTTCAGAATTACACATGCTACACTTCTTCAGCAACCATACTAAATCATGTGAGAGAGTCTCTATTAAGTAGTAGGTCATGCAGTCAGTTTTTAGAATGCTGAAAAATATGAAATAACACAGAGACTAAAATATATTGCATTCACATAGAACTAGTATGAAGAAAAAACAATGACTATCAACAAATAGCATTTTCACTCCACACAGACAATGTCTGTCTATCCATACATGGATCTACGGCGGAGAAAACTTCTCTACCCATTTTGCCCCTCCTTTTTTTAATTTATTTAATTTATAAATATTTTTGAACTTTTTAGTTTTTATACTCATTTTAGTTTTTTTTCTCTCATTTATTGTTTTTTTTTCTCTTTCTAAAATTTCCCCTACTTAATTAAGAGGCTATCAAGGGTGAAACTTTCTATACCCAGTTTGTCCTTCCTTTTTTTTTAATTCAATTAATATATTTGTTTTTTGAACTTTATATACACATTTTAGTTTTTCTTTTCATTTATCGTTCTCTTAAAATTTTTCCCCTACTTCATTTAATATTTCGTTCTCATTTTAGTTATCTAATAAATGTTTAAATATTTTAACTTTCTAGTAGTATTTTAATTTAATTTATCCATTCTTGATAAGTACAATAAACTTTAAATGTTTACTTTTTAAATTTATGAAATTTATTTTGCTTGAAAATTTTTAATGATATTATTTAAATTTTGTTGGTATATTCCTAACTTTTTATATTGCACATTTTATTATTTTACTTTATATATATATATATATATATATATATTTTTTAATAAGGCAATTCCAAACAAACAGTACTATACTTTATTTTAAGATTGACTTATTAGTACAATTTCAAAATCGTGTTTATTTTTATTTTTATATTTGATCGAATAATTTTTAAACATTATGATTATTTTTAAACTTTATAAAGCAGGTGGGTGCCAACTGGTCATTAACCAAAACTGAACTAAAGAGCACATTCTCCACGTAAATGCTCTTTAATTCATCTCGAACAGACATGAGTTTTTTAATATCCACCTATCAATAAATAGATTCAAAATCCTTGAATTGTCATACAAACCATGTCAATAACCCGCCAACTAGAGCAGGATATGAGTTCGAATCCCCACTCTCATATGGTTGTACCAGAAAAAAAAGACGATGTTAGTGACTAAATGATGTTCCCCAAAAAATCAGACAAAATCTTATTAACCATGTTAGTAACCAAATGATGTTCAGACAAAATCTTATTTGGTAAAGAATCCAAGGAGGTGAAAGAAGCAAAAAATACTACAAAAGGAACGAAATCAAAAAAATTCTGCTTATCTCGCCTGTAACTAATACATACCTTAAAGATGGACACTGTCTCTTGCAGCGATCCCTAAAATTCCTTGCTGGATCCGGACAGACCTAGATGAACAGTGAAAAATAAGGTCTCGGCCATGAGAAAAACACTTAGGTTTCTAAATGCAAAATCTTATCCCTATTACCTTCATTGTAGTTTCAACCAGTGAGCGGATCCATCTTGCTGCATCTTCTGGGCTGCTTGCTCCCAACTATAAGGTTAAATGTAAAAAAGTTAAATTAAATACATTCCAAATTTATAAACATGTTCTATGGCATAGAATTAACTACACCTTGAGTTGATCATTTTGATTGACGGTATTATACAGTGTGAAGATGAAGAATACCTGCAGATTTCATATGAAACTATCAATACAAATCTGTCAAGAAATAACCAATTCAGAGATACTAGTCTCTACCACCAACGTACTTTTCTATGAATACTCTCTCTCCCATTATCCGCAACTCGAATATAGGAGTCGATTACTGCACTTCTATATGGTTCCTGTAAAAAATAAAGCCTCAATTACTTCCCAATTTTTAAAAAATCAAGTTAAGGATTACGGCAGAAACTTCAGAATTCAAATGCCGTAGTTTCAAAGAAAGTAATTGATCATTTATTTTTACATCCGATAATCAATGTCTGCAAGTCTCTTCAAGTATTCAAGTATACTCCACCGTTTTAAGTTTTTTTAACCATAGACAAAGAACTCCAATGCTAACGTGGTAAAGTTATGCAAAGACACCATGGACAGTAAAATGCATGTGAATATTGACATTCAAAAGAGAGAGAGGGAGAACAACAGGAGGAAAATATGAATTGAAAGTTATTGGCACTTTTTAAATAAAATATCACAAATACAACCAAGGCTTGGAAAATTAAAAAACAATTTTGTGAATGTTTCGGGCCGTTGGTAACTTTTCAATTTCTTGTTTCTATTTCTCCTCTTTAATAAATAAAAATAGAACTGCAAGGTTCCAACACCAATGAATTAGAGAATGATAAAACTATATTTTTATTTATGTTTTGAAACAAATAGACTATAGGAACAAGAAAGGAGAAACTTGTTTTCGTTGTTTCCAAAATGTTTATACAATTTCAAGAATGTTTATAAGAAAGAGAAACAAGGAAAATAAATAGTTGTCAAATGCTTATGTTTCTTAACAAAATTTGTAACGAAAAACGAGAAACAATAAACAGGAACGTCCCTTCGTTACCATCGATTCATAATCCCAATATCTTTGGTTACAGTAATGATTCGTGAAATGTATTGATGTACAACTATTATTAATGTCCATATCTATAATCCAGACAAGTGCAATAATCCGCACAGATAAGAGAAAAACTGTAACGTGGTCGATGGTGGACCCCGGGCATCTCTATTCCCTCTTTCCAATTTTCCTCTATATGGAAGAAGAACACATCAACCAGAGTCAAATACGCTAAAAAAATGGGAAAGAAAACAAGGATTGAGACATAACTTCTTCCGAGTAAAAGCTTAATCAGATTCGAAACAAACAAATTTTAAAAACAAATCAAAATCAACCAAACGAGGTGCTATTAAATTCAATAAAAACGTCGAAGGAGCACGAACTTCCAAATACATTGTGCGAAATAAACAAATACCTCTGTTCCAGAAACAGGAACGGATTTAAAGCTCTTGAGACAGTCGTCTTGGAGAACGAAGTATCGCTTCTGCGAGTACTGCAGCCCGAACCGGTTAGACCGGATGAGATACAGCCAACCTTCCATTTTCCCGTCATTTGTTGGAGCACCCATTAGAGAAGGATCAAGTGGACCCGCTCACCAATTCGGGGGCAAATGATCCTCAAAGCATTGTGATAACAATGGCGAATGGAGTACGTTTCAAGGCAAAAGAAAAATCCCCCAAAAAAAGGACCAACGGCCGAAAAGCAGAGAAATGGAACGATCTCAGAGAAAGAATGTGTCAGGATTAAGCGCAAACGAGGAGAAATTGCACAGAACGGGAGATTGAGGATGAATTGACCCTCTGATTCCGACGGAGGGAACCAGAGAATCAATGGCGAAAAATTCTCAGTGCGGAATTCTTCGGAGAAGTTCCTCTTCTTCTAATTTCTCTCCTCCCGGTTTGCTCTCTCTATTTCCCGTTTTTTAAACACGCTGAATTTTGGCGTACAAGAAAAACAATAACCATATCTCAAATTACTATTTTGCCCTCCTAGAATAGGTCTCTCTCTTTTTTTTTGGAATCTATTTTATTTTATTTTTGTTCTTATAATATAATTCAAATGAGAAGGTTAGAATTTGAATCTCCGTTGATAAAATTGTATATCAATTTTGATTTTTTTAATGACRTTTTAAATTCAAATCATTTCAAGTTAATTTGTGTATTAGTTATATTCCTATTAATCATCTAACATTAATTAAACACGTATTAATTATGACATCCTAAATTCTCGTAATTGACATGTAATTCATGCAAACCTAATTTGATTTAAGATTTAGCATTTCTACTTTATCATCAACAAATTTTGCAACCATAAGGAAGGGTAAAAACGTAAATTCATATCATATAATGACCCTTACAAAAAATGCAAGCTGGAGCTGGGTGAAATTTAGGTAGGCCTCCAATATTAACAAATTATTTGGTATGAACTTTTTAGTGGAGATTTAATTCAACAAAAATAAAAATAACTAATTAATAATTAATTTTGTTATTTTTTTTTCTTGGGTTTTTTTCTAATACCAAAATAAAAAAATAAAAAAAATTGAAGGAGTTAGATGAATAAGGGACATGGGGGTTGTCTTTTAGCCAAAAATGGAATGGTGGGAGTGAGAGAAACCAAGTGTATGGTTCCCAATATGTTGGAACGTCGGCCCTTAAAAAATTTTGAAGTTTTTCCAAATAAATTAATAAATAAAAACCCACCAACAAATTTATTTGGTCAAAGTCAACCCAATGGACAAAACAAAACCTTAACAATCTCTCTCTCTAGGAATTCACTATTGTTTAGTATTTGCCAAGAGCAACAAAACCAAAAATTTGTTGTTTTGGTCTTTTTCCTTTTTTTTTTTTTTTTGTCTGAAGTCAAAATTATTGGTGTGGGATTGGTTTTAACCAAAAACTATCTAAACACATGTTTACACCTCTAATGCCAATTGTTTACACTTCTAAGGCCAACTGTTTTATTTATGTTTTAATGGGTGGGACGAGAACAAGATGCATTTATGATATACTCTTGTGCCCACAAGAAATTTTAATTTCCATCCCCACTTCATTTCTCGATTTGGTAAATTGAGCTGGGGTGGAGATTCTCCACTCCAAGACTATAATATTTTTGAATGTTCTATAACTATTTATCAATGAATATGTAAAATAATATATTTCTATTTAAGAAAACTTTTAATTACAATGTTGTTAATTGAAACGATTAGTGTTCACACGAGATTTTCGAAGAAATTATACAAGACCAACTTATGTAATCGGTTATAACATAATTTGATGGGTCGAATTCAAATGTCCAAAAATAATGTGACATGATTTAATTGACCACTTTTTTTATATCTTTCTATTTAAAGACACTTGTCAAATGTTAATTCACGTCGGTTTAATGACATATAATTTTGTCGACAAATTTATGGGTCAACAATTAGTTTTTAAAAATATTATTTTTATATAATAGTTTAATTAGAAAGGTAAATAAGTATGTATAACTAAGTTTTAAAAATCGAGATACGGAAATAAATCGGAAATACCCTTCCCAAATTTTGGGATTCCCTCCCATCCCATTTTAAACAAATTCTTAATTACAATGTTGTTAACTGGAATGATTAGTTTTAGAAAAATATTTACAATAATTGAATTAGAAAGACAAAGAAATATATATAAGTAATTTTTAAAATTCGAGATAAGGACATAAATCGAAAATAGAGTTGATCTTCCATCCCGTCCCTAAAATTTGAGAGAGATGAAATTTCCTCCATCCCATTTTAAATGAAGATTCCTCACTGAAACCTGACTAGCAGAAGCTTTTGATAACCTTAAACGCTCTCATGCTAGATAGAGACCCAAACCGACCTACTTACACCTCTAGTTGCCAAGTGTTTTCATTGAGAAAGAGAGAGGAGTAAAGAATTGAGAGGCAAGCAAACTATATATTAGGTCAAGAGTTGTCAAAGATGTTCACAATCACACACTTATACCCAATTCTCT